TTCATATTTCATTCCATGACAGGTGTCATAAAATACGGTGCTTGGACTATCACATCCACATACGCAACAGAACGGCGAGGTATATGTTTTACACGGCGTTGTTTCCGTGCGCCGCGGAGACCACTCCGGCCCTGAAAACAATGAAACCGTGCCGACTCGAGAGCCCATCGGGGTCAGATCGGAAGGCGCCGGCGCGCGGCAGCGGCCGCTGCCGGATCAAGGCACAGGGTGTGGACGGCTGGTGTCGGCCGCCGCGCTTGGACGGCCGGCCGTCAGCGGTGCCGGGCGGCGCCGCCGCCGCCACTCGGCGCTAGTTGCTGTCGCGCTCGAAGAACATGTAGCCGATGAGGAAGGTGGCGCCGAAGAGCGTCGCCTTGGTGGCCGGGTCGAGGCCGTGCGGGAAGGTGACGCCGAACGTGGAGGCGTCGGTGAACACCTCCTTGGTCATGCCGCCCCACTGCTTGGTGATGGTGCCCACCTGGCGGCTGCCGTCGGCCGACATCACGGGGAAGTCGACGTCGGCGCAACACTTGCAGACACAGCAGGGGCCGTGGATCTGCAGGCGCACCTGGCCGTCGGGACCGCGCACGCTGAAGCTCGGCTTCATCACCGACCACTCCTGCGTGACGGTGCCCATCGGCATGCCGCCGGCGCTCACCTCCAGCTCCTGCAGACAGCAGAAGCAGCAGCAGCACTGGCACCTGCCGGCGGCGGGCGCGGCGTGTCAAGCGGGCGGGCGGCGCGGCGGACGCGCGGCCCTACGGCAGGCTAGGCGAGTGTGCTCGACACGGCGGCCGGTTTGGGTGTGGCAGCGGGTCTGGCTATGTCTGGTTAGCGTGCGTCCAGCAGCTGAGTGAAAGTGGCATGCTTGTTTTTACCTTTGCATAAACAAATTTGGTGGGATAAATTTCGCCCCGGTAAAAAATGTTCTTGAGCTGTGCACATTACGCTGCGTAGTGCTGTAAGAAATAAGCTCCATTGAATGTGGTATCGATGGAGATTGCGGTGCATTATGGTTGCATCAACGCGAGACCTGTGCCGTGAGTTATTACAATGAACAGAAAATCGCCTCTCCTGAGCATTTTTAGTTTGCTAGAACAGGTTGAGGTACATAGTTCTACCTTTGCACGGCTTCTGCTGCCGGGTTTACTGTAAAAGAGCATTCTGTCCATGGTTTGCTTCCACTCGCTTACCTCGTTCGGTATTCCAGTGGTGTTGTCGTCTGCCCCCCCCCCCCCCCCCCCCCCACACACACACGCTCCTTCTCTCTGACATCTCGCTCTCTCGCCTCCCATTCCACCACGCTGTCAGACTCTGCACACCTCCACATGCCCGCCACTGCATCAGCCCGGGGCGGCCGTGGTGCCGGCCGCCGCCAGCCGCTGTGCTGCTCGGCGGCGGTCCCTTCACGGCCTCCTGCTTACTTGAGCGGCCGGTCCATGGAGAGCACCTCCACCTGCGCGGCGTCCACGACGCTCATGCGGAACGGTCGGCCGCGGCCGCAGCAGCAGCGCGTGCAGCAGCCGCTCTGTTCGGCCGCGTAGTACACCGCCTGGCCGGTGGACGTCTTGATCACGTACTTGTTGGCCGTCTCAAAGCCGGTGAACGCCTCCAGCAGCTCCATCTGGCGGCGCAGAGCGGAGCGACTGCGGCTCTGACTTGGGGCGACGCTGACGCAAGGGCTCGGACGTGCGGTTGGTTGTGCTGGGACGGCGGAGAGGGCGTGGCAAGGGTGTACGACGGGGCGGCTCTGGCTTGGGTCGTGCGACGCTGACGCAAGATTCTGACGCAGGGCTTCAGTATGGGGTAGTTGTGCTGGCATCTGAGAGAGGCCGAGAAGGAAGATGACAAGGCGACTTGGGCTCGGGGGCAAAAGACTCGCCGGTAGGATGTTGGCACTACGGTCCCGTCTGGCTTCCGGCGACTCAGAGAGCCTGGATGCCGGCCCACTCCAAGCGCCAGGACCTTTACAAACCCGGGCTACGACGGGGCTGGGCAACATCTGTCATTCAGTGCTATCACATACGCGCACTGTTTCCATTAGGTGGTTCACACCTGCCCGGTCGGTTCTGGACCGATGCCGCGGCGCACCCTCCGCCCGTTACCGGGGCTGCTCTGGTCACACAACCAAAGATGAGCACAAGGCTTCGTATGCCCTCGACCAGCAGCGGAGCGGTCCACCCAGGGACTGTGGCGCCATGTAGGCACGCGACGGGGTCACCGCGAAGCTGACCTTTGTTGGACCACGAGCTGGTCGGCATAGGCCAGCGCCTCCAGACCTGAAATCGACATGTTTGGTGTTGTCACAGATGCAAGCAGCATGTGGCGTCATCAGCAGCATGTGATGCGGTTGTGACGTCACCAGCAGCATGTGACGCGATTCAACGCTTCGTGCGTTTGGGCTGCGTCGACGCTTGAGTGCGTTTGGGCTGCGAAATGATTGTGATGCATTCGAAGAGCCTGTTGCATTGGTCTATTCTACGCGGGACTCTTGGCCCTATGGGAGCGGAGCTTGTTCCACAAGTGCTGCGAATGCGAGCAGGTCACCATGACAGGCGCTGTGACGATCGTATGGGGGCGGAGCTTGTTCCACAAATGTTGCAAGCAGGTCACCATGGCAAGCGTCGCGGCGACTGAACGGCCGTTTGCTTTTCATTATGCCGGGCGTCGCCCGTGGCTCCGTTGCCAACGTTACTGGCTGGTAGTTCGGCATGTCTCGCTGTTTGCAGGTAATTGAGCTCCTGTCAGGGCGTATCGCACATCTAAAAAGAACCCGAAAGCTCAAAACAGTAGCAAGATGATAGAGCTTCACCTGCAGAAGGGTCCAGCAGCACAGAAGAACGCTCTCACCCTTCTGTTCACGGGAAATAAAAGCGACTCTGGAAGGCTAGGCAGATGTAGGGTATCGTCCTTCACTCAGCTCATACTTTACACTGGACACCAGCCTGTCCTCGACACCACAGGTGTAGGAGCAGGGGCAGGGGGGGGGGGCGACGAAGACCACTGACCTCGTGGCCAGCCGGGCGCCGTGGTCTGGAGCGTGCCCTGTTGGGCGACCAGCATTGGCTGTCCGCCGGCCATCACCAGCCCGAGCGGCTGCGGCTGCTGCATGGTCGGAGCCGGCCCCACCTGTGACGGCACCATCATCGCTGCGAGCCGTCCGAAACGTTCGCACGGTCCGCTCCGTCCGCCGCTCCTGAGTCGTCCGTTCCGCTCGTTTCGTTTGTTCTGTTAGCTCCGCACGTTCCGTCAGCAGCTGCGCCCGTCCGCTCCGTCCGTCCGCTCCGCCCGTCCGCTCCGCCCGGGCCGCCGAGTACGACTGCCGTTGCCCGCTGCCTGGGTAACGGCGGCCCGGTATTGACGTTATATCGAGGAGGCGGCGTCGCCGTGTGGTCATTGTGGTGGCCCGGCAGTCACCAACTAACGGTGTCATTGGGGCTTTCTACGCCTTCAGTAGCTGGGATTATGGTGTCTCTCGCCTACCTCTCACTCTGGCGGCAAGGACGGGAACCGCGCAGAATCGAACCCCGTACCCCCGGTTGCCCAGACTCGCAGGTGAACCGCTAAAAAAAAAAAACGCCACGAGCGCCCCGTCCGGCCAGCGCGGCGTGTTCCATGATCGGGGCGAAGGAGGGTTACGGCCCGGTGGCGACCGTCATGTGTGCGTAATGGCCAGCATGTGCACTCTGAGCACTTCGCCCTGATCCGATTGCCATTTGACCATTCCTCCTGAGATGCAGACCGGGCGTGTATTTACACTGAACAAGCGCAGGTACTCGGAACAGGTGGATCGATGTGTGCTGACGTCGACTCCACGCTGACGGAACGCGTGCTCCACACCCATTTGCGGACTCACGTGGCTGTTGGCAGTTAGTTTGCCCTACATTTACCCGTATCGCGTAAGATTTGTGTTCTGGGGCCAGTTTTATAATAAAAATTTATCACCGCTCCTTGCCAAAAAAAAATAACTCAACCAAAAAAAATTCCGCCGCTTACGGAGTTTTATTAACGGTCCTGCCACCCAACATTAATTTCTCTGATGAAGGCTTTTCTAAACGCAGTCAGCTGTTGCCTGTCAGAAGTGCCAGATGCTATCGTATCGCAAACAACATTTGTTTATTTTTGCGACGGTCGATTATGCTCATTGAGAACGACAAATAGTTTTGTTACTTCTTAAGTGAATACTTAACCACAAGCATTGCCACAAGTAATTCAATGAAAACATTGACGTGCATACTTTGAATAAATTACCCAGTTATTATATCATTGGCGAAATATTGCACACAAAATTAGGGGAATGGCGTTTGAATTATGGTACCATGTGATAAGGCACCTATCCACTACCATTGACTGAAATCCCATGGCATATGCCCCCCGCCCCCTTGTCCGATCCATCTCCTGGTTTAATGACGCCGCTTGCAGCCCCGCGTATGAATATTTCACTGTTTGGCGCATGCGTGCACGGTACCTACCTACCAAGGAATACACCTGGGTATCCCATCCTCCCCTGATCTCCCCATAACCAACTTACCCTGGTGGCAGAGAAATTGAAAGAAGGTCGTAGAATCTAAGCAAATGGGTGTAGTGGGATGTAGAATACAGGCAGGGCGGGTAGGCTTCTGTCCAGGCACACAACCAGGTACAGTTACGCATGTCTTCACTCGAAGCAACGCGAGGCCGTTGGTGTCGGCTCTGCCTAGGCGTCCATTATCACGTTCTAAGGAGCTCAGGGTTTTACTGTGGCGAATATTTCCTATTTTTACAACAGTTCAAACCTGACAAGCGTATTATTCCTTTTGTTCGCTTCCATCCTTTTCAGCCCAAATTTTAGCCCGCATTTATCCGTTGCCAATCACAACCCTCAGCTGCAACCCCGCCGCCAAAACTGATACCACCGGCAGCTGCTGTTTCAAGGACGGCGTGCGCCGAATGCGTCAACGACAGGGTTGACAACGACGCTTGGCGCTGGGGAACAGAAACAAAAATTGTACTACTTGGCGCATGGGCACCTAAGGGGTGCCATGGTTAGCGCCGACGGCGGGCCGTTCGAGAGCCAACGCGCGTTTTACAGGTGCCTGAGAGGACAATGCATCCTAGCATGGTCATGTAGGTAGACTTCTAGCTACCTACTACCAATGCATAACGCCTACCTTCCCAATGACACGGTTACCACACAAACTGGTAACCTTTGCTGAATATGCCAGATATCTACCCTGATTGCGTTACATAGCAATGGTGTCCTACCTCTACTTTCGCAAGCTATTTGAACACAAATTAGGCGGAGGCAGGTCTTTGTTTTTTAGAAAAAAAATGCCGACATGGTAACAGAAAAAAACGCTGTATTTTGCTCACGGCAATGCCAACAACATTTAAAGTTCCAAGCAGTTTGCATGATCTTGCTGTCGCTGCCAGTTGATGGACCTGATGAGGGCGTTCGACACCGGGACCTCGAAATCGGATAGCGTCTGCTGTCTTTGATCTGCAACCAGAGACAGAGCACCAATCATGGAATGCATTGGTTTTACTCATATCGTCATCAGAGTTGCGTATACACTTGCCGGAATATCTGCAGGTCGTTACACTCTACCTACATGTCCAGTTTACATGCGGAATATATATTAGTTGAACACAAGTGCATACAACAGCGATAGGGGAGGGGGTGTTCAACAATCACCTTAAAATGCAAAAACCTTGAGTTCGAAATGGAATAGGAATGATATTAATGGTGGGACTTATACCCGATTAGATTTAGTACCTCCAAACCCACCAGTGAAAGATAAAATTAAGGTCTCATAAAAATCATGGAACACTGTGTCCTGATCTTCCAGTCCCACGTGCAGCCTCAAGCAATCTGTGGCCCACAACATCGCCGAGGAGCCCACAGCGAACATTAGTTAAAAGTGATGGAAAACAGGGGCGCAGTAGGGTTTCATAGGGGCTGCCCTGTTTAATTATGTGCTGTGGCAATATAATTAACATTGTCAATAGCAAAATATGCTATCAGTCTAATGATTGGGGAACAGTCGCAGCCTTAGCCTGTTCTCATTGTATTAGTGTCATTGCATGTATGGGAACTTGACAACGCGGAGGTGTGCATCAACTTAGCTGCTTTGATCCGGAGGGTAGCCTTTGCCCTCCCCTTTTTGTTTGTTATATTGCTATTTCATACCAAAATATAAGCAGTACAGTTATGCATACTTGGACAAGGTACTTAAGCACATGAGGGTAAATCTGAATGAATGCAGCCGTTAGTCGCGGTTTCGTCACAACTTAGTCAGCACATGGGTGAGAGAGGCTATCTGGTGCACCAGGGGTTAGGGGGGGGGGGGGGGGAGCAACAGGTAACTTCATCATAGAAACTATTGAACCTATGCTGCTGCCAAGGAGTGTAAAGGTGGTGGGCCGGATGTGGAGGGGGGGGGGGGGGCTGCCACTAGATAAATCACTAACTTCACAGAAAGAGGGGCAAGCAATCGCAACCAGGGAAGCAAATAGCAAATGCCATCTAAGTTGCATATAAAAAGAAGACATTTAGTCTACTGTATACATCTAAGATGACTAGTTCAAAGGGCCTTTTAAGATATCTATCCGCTGAAGCATTGTGTTGTTCCCCTTTCCCTAACCACTAGAAATAATACAAATGCTTCAGGTACTCATTCATGACTTCAGACCACTGGTTACCACCCAAGCATGGGCCATGAATGGGGAGGGAGAGGAGGTGGGGGCAGGGAGAACTGTCGCACAAATAAGGGCAAGCTTTGACATAAACTCCCCCTCCCCTCCATCCAGCATCTAGAGAGGTTGCACTGCTACGCCGCCCCCCCCCCCGGGGGGGGGGGGGGCGGCGTAGTGTCTGTGTCTTAGCGTGCTACAAGCAGCAAGATGTTGAAATGTGGGTAAAGCTGTGATTTATCCAGCAAAAGCGCAAATATCTATAAATCGAGGCCCACCTGTACGCTGTAGCATGTTCCTGAATCCTGGGCAATGTTTTCAGCGACGTTCCTTGTAGTCTATGCTTGTGCGTCTTACACGCATGGGGTGGAACCAAGGTACCACATAGGCATCTCGGAGCATGATGTACACCGCTGGTCCTCATCAGTAGCCTGTTGCCCTTAGCCTGATGTAGCCTTATTTTGATTTCACCATCAATTGGGTGGGGACAAAACGATACAAGCTAAGCAATGTAGATGCATGCACCCTGAAGCTAGGTTTCTGAGCCATTGCAACCTACTTAGGGCGCATTTTGATAAAAGTACGTCGGCCTTGATTAAAAAAACGCAGCGACGAGGTTGATTTTTTATCGGCCCATTTTCTACAATAACTGCGCATTTACCATTGCGCTTCTCGCCGCACAATTTGTTTATAAAACTCGATGGTGAAAAAGCGCTTCCGACGACGGAGGATTTTCATGGAGGATAATTTTTTTACTCCGTGCTTTATAAAACTCGGAGGAGGAAGATCTGAGAAAAATTGCCTGCGCTGAGGGTATTCTTTTTTATAAAACTGGCCTCTGATCCCTTTTTAGCGGTAGTTTAACCGTTATCACGACATTGATGTTACGGCAAAAACTCCTTCCGACAGGAGTACCGCACGACAAAATTATGCCTCAGAAGCTTATACACTTCATTACATCTACTGCAAGAACTTATATAGTCTTTACGCGTATTCGACGTTACTTCCACTGCAAAAACTCATGCACGACATGAGTGGTTCACGACCAGACTTATACTGCAAAAAGCTATACCCGTCAATGCTTCTGTAGCAGGCTTATACAACATTCCCTTTACTCACATGTGACGTACTTCTACTCCGAGGAGCTATATGTGACTTTAGTGCTGTACCAGGGACGTAGTTTCACGAAATGAGATGGGTGTAGGTGGTGGCTGAACCGTGAAAAAATGACCCAACCCACACTTAAAGTATGCCAAGGAGCCGGTTTCTCCCAGATTTGGCCCATTTTCTTCCGAAGGTTTTGGGGCTTCATCCCCTTGCCCCAACTAAAAAGGAAGCTACACCCCTGTGCTACTCAACAGAGCTTGAAAAGCAATCAAAAACTTCTATTAAGAGATTATGGCCTTCATTTTTCCTGTTGCAGAAACCTATACAGTCCTTACGTATGTTCGATATTACTTCTCGCACAAAGACTACGCGATATGGGCGCAAGTTTAACCATCAGTGCTCCAACCCATGAATTAAGCCTGGCCAAAGTTCCGGAGGAAAAGAACTCATCGCAACACTTGGCTGGGCGAAGTCAGGCTGGAGGTGCCCACTCCATGGAATCGAAACATTATTCCTGCCGTAAACATTGCGAGCGCTAAACCTATGACGGCAATTCATCTTTTTTACCGAACAGAGGTGTGGTTCACTGTCGTGGAGTTGCAGAACGAGCGTGGAAGCTGAACAGGGGAAACAACCAAACCTGCCCCAAAATACGCTATACGCGGTGTTTGCCCCGAATGTGGCACACCTTCATATCACAGATGAATTGTGAATGGGGTCTCCCACTGAATACAAAGCTAAACCACTGATCTGGTCTTCATTGAAGCGTGTCATTACTTCAAATGCAATTATTTATATAATGCTCAAGTACAAGTTTTCTAATAGTGGTACCAAGTTTTGTCGCGTATCATATATCATGCTCCAGTACAGGTTTTCTAGTACTGGTATCGGGTTTTGTCGCGTAGCATATATAATGCTCCAGTGCAAGTTTTCTAGTACTGGCACCAAGTTTTGTCGCGTAGGACCAATGTGTGTAACTATTGGCAGTAGAAGTTGGGTCGTAGCACAGCTGTCAGAAGTTTTTGCTGCAGCACTAATGTTGTGCAGTCGGTGGCACTGATTTGGAGTCAGTTTAAACACCGCCGCGCAGCGTGATGATGCGCAGATTGGGCAGGTGTCAGATGTTTGGTTCAAGTCCGTCTCTGAAGGATCTCACACTGTTCGGGAGTTGGCAGCACTGAGGAGCGATCGCCTGGACCCGCGATCAACACTGCGCCAACTGCAGCGCCCGCGCCAGCGGGCTCGCGGGTACTGCCGGCCATAAACAGCGCCTTTGGCCCCGGGACGCGTCCTCTGGAAGCGGGCTGACCATGGGTCACAGGAGCGCTCCTTCCCGCCAGGGCTAGGAGATCTGCACCGCCGGCTGCGTGCCAGCCGGCCTTGACGGGCGTCTGGACGGCGGTGTAGTGATCAAGACTGCACCGCAGGGATGCCGAGCACCGCACCGCCGTGCTTGATGGGCCAATGCTGCGACATTAGCCAGATCACCTTTGTGATGTCACCCAGAAATTAGAGTTGTCTAGCTCATGCGCATTACATCGATTGGGAGATGGGCGGATTGCGGTGGGTTGTAATGCTAGGGGCCTTCATCGGCTGTACGGTATTACCTCTGCGATCGGCTGTAGTGTGAGCGGCCTTCAGGGTCTGTACGGTAGTACCTCAGCAATTCGGTTGTAGCATGAGAGGCCCTCAGCGGCTGTACAGTCTTACCTCTACAATTCGGCTGCGCATACATGTGGTGTGCGGGGATGGCTGCTGATCGATATTTGCACGTGCTAGCAAAGCTCTTCGCGCTCAAAATAGTCATTTCAGCGTCCGGAGCCCATCATCAATCGATTTTGTGGATTGATCGGATTTGTCGCACGCGGCCAGGTTTCCGGGCCACCATTGTACCAGTAAGTACCACGTTGAGGCGAAGGAGCTGCGAGGTTCTCAAGTGCGCGCCATGCGGGCGGTTTGGGACCTCTGGCACGGATACTTCGGGAAAGTCCAGCTTGAAGCCGCGCCGCAGAGCCGGCCGGTGGCGAAGGTGTCCTTGACGGCCTCCGTGACGTCCGTCGCGCATCGGTCCAGCTTGAAGCCGCGCCGCAGACCCTGCCGGTGGCGAAGGTGTCGTTGACGGCCTCCGTGACGTCCGTCGCTCATCAGTCCAGCTTGAAGCCGCACCGCAGACCCGGCCGGTGGCGAAGGTGTCCGCGACGTCCGTCACACATGGGTCCACCTTTGCCGACGCCGTTACCACGTCGCCGTTAACTCGATATGCTCAGCATTCAGAGTTCATTGCGGTCGTGTGTATCGGTCGCCAGGCAACAAGGTCAATGGCTCAATACTCTGACGTCCCCGGCTTTCGCCGTCTCTTTCTGTCCCGAGTTTTGTGTGACGAGTCGGGCCGGTCGTCGGACCGGGACAATGCGGCCGTGAATACGCAGCAGCGCATGCGGCAGCCGGGCTCTCGGTTGTATGCTCGCGACATTGGCGAAGGCCGCGGCCGGGAATCGATGACCGTTGTTCTTTGGTGTTGTCGGACGAAAAGGAAGGGGCTCCCGTGGGTCTCGCCTTGGTTATGCAGCATGGTGCAAAGGAGCTCTTGTGATGTTTTTTGTTCGAATGGTGAATTATCAGAAGTCTCGAAACAGCTGCTCATTTGACGTCGGCCTTTGAAGCATGCACTTATGGAGAAGCGCGTAACGTTTCTCAAGATTTCCCCGGACGGGTCATTAGTGTAAGTAAACGAAACCGCTGACACCTCCGTGCAGCTGTGTTCTCCAATATCACACCCGAGAAGCCCGTGAAACCCCGTACTCCGCCCCGTCAACAGTGGGACTGGCATGCTACCACGCTGAACCCGTACTACGAGGCCAACCCGCTGAGCCGTATGATCTCGGACGACCGGTTCATCCTGCACACCCTGTCACGCTGGCACTTCGGCGCCGACGACACGGGCGACCTGATGAACCCGGCCAACGCCGACCACCTGATCGAGGTCACCGGCGCCGGGGTCAACCTGGTGACGGCCGACGGCAGCGTGGACTGTCAGGTCAGTGGCCGGGGCGCGGGCCAGATGTCAGACGCCGCGGGCTAGCCAGGGCGGGGGAGGGCGGCACGAGATTCACGGGTGAAGGCGGAGGCAGGCTCGGTGACTTGTGACGGGGGAGATAGGCCGTAGGTTAGGGTAGGGACGGGAGAGGAGGCAGAGACCGGTGAGCGTAGCCGAACAGGTAAGCGGGCCCGGGGCCGTGACGTGTGGTTGTACCGGGAAGAGGGTAGAGACCGGTGAGCGTGGCCGGACATGTAAGGAGGCCCGGGGCCCCGACGTGGCGGCGTGGCGGGGAAGGGGAGGGGGGGGGGGGGCAAAAACCGGTGAGCAGGCTCGGAACCCTGGCGTGGCGTTGTACCGGGGAGGGGGGGGGGGGGTGGCAGAGACCGGTGAGCGTAGCCGAGCAGGTGAGCAGGCTCGGAGCCCTGGCGTGGCGTTGTACCGGGGAGGGGGGGGGGGGGGACAGAGACCGGTGAGCGTAGCCGAGCAGGTGAGCAGGCTCGGAGCCCTGGCGTGGCGTTGTACCGGGGAGGGGGGGGGGGGGGACAGAGACCGGTGAGCGTAGCCGAGCAGGTGAGCAGGCTCGGAACCCTGGCGTGGCGTTGTACCGGGGAGGGGGGGGGGGGGGGGGGTGGGCAGAGACCGGTGAGCGTAGCCGAGCAGGTGAGCAGGCTCGGAGCCCTGGCGTGGCGTTGTACCGGGGAGGGGGGGGGGGGACAGAGACCGGTGAGCGTAGCCGAGCAGGTGAGCAGGCTCGGAGCCCTGGCGTGGCGTTGTACCGGGGAGGGGGGGGGGGACAGAGACCGGTGAGCGTAGCCGAGCAGGTGAGCAGGCTCGGAACCCTGGCGTGGCGTTGTACCGGGGAGGGGGGGGGGGGCAGAGACCGGTGAGCGTAGCCGAGCAGGTGAGCAGGCTCGGAGCCCTGGCGTGGCGTTGTACCGGGGAGGGGGGGGGGGGGGGGACAGAGACCGGTGAGCGTAGCCGAGCAGTGAGCAGGCTCGGAGCCCTGGCGTGGCGTTGTACCGGGGAGGGGGGGGGGGGGACAGAGACCGGTGAGCGTAGCCGAGCAGGTGAGCAGGCTCGGAACCCTGGCGTGGCGTTGTACCGGGGAGGGGGGGGGGGTGGCAGAGACCGGTGAGCGTAGCCGAGCAGGTGAGCAGGCTCGGAGCCCTGGCGTGGCGTTGTACCGGGGAGGGGGGGGGGGGGACAGAGACCGGTGAGCGTAGCCGAGCAGGTGAGCAGGCTCGGAGCCCTGGCGTGGCGTTTGTACCGGGGAGGGGGGGGGGACAGAGACCGGTGAGCGTAGCCGAGCAGGTGAGCAGGCTCGGAACCCTGGCGTGGCGTTGTACCGGGGAGGGGGGGGGGGGGGCAGAGACCGGTGAGCGTAGCCGAGCAGGTGAGCAGGCTCGGAACCCTGGCGTGGCGTTGTACCGGGGAGGGGGGGGGGGGGGGCAGAGATCGGTGAGCGTAGCCGAGCAGGTGAGCAGGCTCGGAGCCCTGGTGTGGCGTTGTACCGGGGAGGGGGGGGGGACAGAGACCGGTGAGCGTAGCCGAGCAGGTGAGCAGGCTCGGAGCCCTGACGTGGCGTTGTATCGGGGAGGGGGGGGGGGCAGAGACCAGTGAGCGTAGCCGAGCAGATGAGCACGCTCGGGGCCCTGACGTGGCGTTGTATCGGGGAGGGAAGGGGTGGGGACCGGCGAGTGTAGCCATGGATGTAAGGAGGCCCGGGGCCCTGACGTGGCGGCGTGTCGGGGGAGGGGAGGGGGTGGAGACCTGTGGGTGAGCCGGGCGGGTGAGCAGCCCCCGGACCCTGACGTGGCGGCGTGTCGGGGAGAGGAGGGGAGAGGATAGAGGCTGGTAAGCGTAGCCGTACATGTGAGGAGGCCCGGGGCCCTGACGTGGCGGCGTGTCGGGGAGAGGAGGGGAGAGGATAGAGGCTGGTAAGCGTAGCCGTACATGTAAGGAGGCCCGGGGCCCTGACGTGGCGGCGTGTCGGGGGAGGGGAGGGGGTGGAGACCTGTGAGTGAGCCGGTGAGCGGGTGAGCAGCCCCCGGACCCTGACGTGGCGGCGTGTGGCGGGGAGGGGAGGGGGCAGAGACCGGTGAGTGGGCCGGGCGGGTGAGCAGCCCCGAGCCCTGACGTGGCGCTACACACCTGTCTTATTCGTGGCTCCCGTGACTCCGAACATGTGTCAGTCGGCTGCAGCTGGGTGGAGTCGTTGGCCGGACTCCAGGCCGCCGAATTGCCCGCTCACAGCGGAGCCGACTCATGTGGTGTCTGTTGCGTTATTAGGGGTTGTTATGTGCATATTGGGCTTTCTGCTGCGTCTTGGTTCGTAACGAAGCTATGACATATTTTGTGCTCGTTTGCTGCATGTTGCGTGCCTTTTTTTCCTACCAACCTGCTATTGTGATGGCATGAATGAGCCTCATCATAATTTTGTGCGGCTAAATTTGGTCGTGCGTCGTTCTTACATCATCATGGGGATCGCCTCGCCGCGGTAGCAGTGCACATGGTTTTCACGAGTACTCGCTGTCGCGAATAGTAGCTTACATCGATTGTCAGCATCGATACAGTCATCGTGCCATCGCTTCACATTCACTTACACTGTTTGCTGGTAAACCTGCAAGTGTAGCCGCGTGCCATACGGTGCTCGCCCCCATGTCGGAGCGCTTCGGCACAGGAACGTGAGCAAGCTTGATTGCTGATGTACATGTTGCTTGCGTGGCCTATACGCCCGCGGTCATTTGCGTACATGCCTACCGAGTAGCACACAAGTTATGGGCGTTGATGGCCGTCGCTGTCGATGCACCTAAACCTCCACTGGTCGTAATGGCACACATAATTACGTCTTCACCGCTATCTATTTCTTTGCGTGACTGTTAATGATAACATCGATTTCCTGAATGAACAAAGACTGTGGCGCCCCAATTACTGACCCCGCAAATTCCCCTAGGTCCGAACGTTCCTCGCCAGCTCCCCGAGTGGGCATTAAAATACGGAAGTACTGTTACCAAGGACAAGTGGGGTGTTTTTGTTTCGGCTTAGCTTAGCGGCAAAATTTACAGCATGCGGCGCGTGGTCGATCGTGTTTAGACGTTTGGTGGGTAAAGCACGTGCGTGGGCAGATGAGTTTGTTTGCATACTGGCGACAAAGCAGGCGCCATCGAACACAGCGAAGTTGCTTGCTTTGAGCTGTACGGGCGACAAACCAGGCGCGACTGAACGCGGCGAAATCGTTTTATTTGAGCGTCACTGGCGACAAACCAGGTGCTATCCAACACGCGAAATTGCTTGATTTGATCGTATGCGCTGGAATAGTACGTTTCTTGGTATTCTGCGTGTCGTTGTGTTGCTATGCTGTGAGGGAAGGCCAGACAGTTTCCGGGATATTTTATTCGAATCTCGCACGACGAGCGGACGCGGCTGGAGGGGGCCAACGTCACTGATGTTTATAGAGCAGCGACAGCAGTGGAACGAAGCCTTCTTCGGTTCTCGGTTTGCGAACCCGCAGTTTTTCCTGCAGTGGTGTCGGCTCGGCTTCGGCTTTTAGCGGATTCTCTCGGCTGACCGGCTTTGGTCTTACCTTTGCGCCAGTTTCGACGGTCGGCTATGGCTTTATTTTTGTGGTAGTTTTGTGCGCAGGCTTGACTTTGGCTTCCAAGTTTGTTTGTTTTTAATCGTGGCTCTAGGTTTGGTTTCATGCGATCTTGAATTGCTCGGTGCGCTTTTTCATGATGGTTTTCTTTGCAGTTGCGGCCTCGCTAAAGAATACAGTAAAAGGAAACATAAAAACAGTCGCCTATTCGAGGCTTCGGACCATATATGTCTGAAAGCCAAAAGTAACAGCGGAAGACGGCCTGAAAATTGAGCGTTCGAAACGGTCGGCACAGACTTATCTACAAGACGAGGTTTTTAGTCAGAAAAAATATCACGTCCGTAATGCTAACTCGTCTGTCTCAATCACCCCGCAAGACCCTGGTGACATTTTATGACACCATACATCCATACAGTTTCAGCAAACGGGAGACGCTTTTCGTTAAGGAAAACATCGTCGTACACTAAAATAACTAGGCCGAAGCCATGTCTTAACTAATGGGGTCAGCTTTGACTGCCCGTTTCTCAAGTTCGAAACCCTTGACTTCGGCTTCGGTTTCGTGTTAACGAAATAATCATCACATTTCAAAAATGCATAGCCGCTGGCGTGGGCTTAGGCTTCGGCTCCACGTTCTTGTTCGGCTTCAGGTGGGTCTTTGAAGCCTGGTTTGGTCACGACAGCGTATTTGCCTCCAGAGTCTCTGCCCTGTTCGTACACTGTAGGCCATCCCGCCAGGGAAGCTTCAGCCACACCTGCACACTGTGGCCGGGACGGACCTGGCCGCGACGTGTGTCCGGCGCGTGAGCGTGACATGGGACCCCGCTGACCTGTGGCAGGGCGAGCCGGCCGAGCAGGAGCGGATAGTGGCCGGCCTGCACCTCTGCGAGGTGTGGTGCGCCCTGCGTGCCCTCCAGCCCGGCGGCACGCTGGTCGTCAAGATGTTCACGTTCTACGAGTCCGGCTCCGTGTGCCTGCTGTTCCTGCTCAGCTGCTGCTTCGCCGAGGTGGGTCGGCTGCTGGCCGTCCGCGGCCGCTCCAGCCGCCCCGAAACAGCCGTGCAGCGGCGCCCTGTGCGTGTGCGTGTCCGGCGGTCATGTGGCGGGGTTGCCGCGCTGACCGTAGCGGTCACGCACGCTCGAAGGCGCCTGACGATAAATTTAACATGTTTCACGCCGCCGGAGGGTGCGGTGCTGTTCCAACAGGTTAGCCCGATTAAAGAGCATCCGCGTGACATTTGGAATACTCTGCTGCGTTCACCGTCCTACGCGGCATTGGCAAACGTGGAAAGGGAAAACCGTGTGACAGGTGCCAGCTTTGTCTCAAGTTTAGTTTCGTTTTCATGGATCTGCGCTGTTTTGTACTGATTTTGATAGCCGCTCTCCGGCGGCCGGGCGATTGTCCCCCTGCCCTGACCGTCCCCTGACCCATGTCGGCCAGGTGAGCGTGGTCAAGCCGTCGTGCAGCAAGTCGGGCAACTCGGAGGTGTACGTGGTGTGCCGACGGCTGGCGGCGGGCCCGCTCAGCGGCGGCCACCTGGAGCGGTGGCGGCGGCGCTACGGGGCCGACGGCCGCCAGCCGCTCTTCGCTCGACACCACGTGCCCGACACGTTCATCCAACAGCTTGTGCAGTGCGCCAGGCTGTTCAAGGTTGGTGTTAAAGGCTGTTCACAGCGGCGCCGGCGATGAGAGAAAGTGAGAGACGCTTTGTAGCCGGACCTGCCTTGTTCACATTTCTTTTGCCGTCAGTGCAAAAGGTGCAAATACACAAACAATCATGTGGAGAGATCTGGAGTCTTCTTCTTCCTGAAAGAGCGGAGAGAGAGAGAGTGAGAGGTGAGAGAGAGCTGCTTCCAGACAAAGCTTACACTTCATAACTCGGTGTTTTGTTCAGTCCACTGAACTATTCCCTGTCTACTCAGCGTTACGAATAGCAGACGTCGATGGTGCTGACATGCTGTCCGTTTGTTGCCCGTGATGGGAGCCGTCTTCCCCACTGAACCTGACCTGACCTGACCTGACGTGACCCGGCGCCGGCCGTTGATTGCCAGACGTCACAGGAGGCGGAGATCGCTCGGAACCTGCAGCTGCACGAGCGGGGGCGGATGGCGCCGCCTGGCGCGAGGTGGACGCCGTCAGAGAGGCGGTCGCCGCCCAGTTCCTGCAGCGCTGCCGCCTGGCGCCCATAGATAAGACGCTGAAGCTGAGCCACCCGGTCGATCCCCGGCTCTACACGTCGTTCCAGGTGAGCGGTGGCCCAGCGCAGGGACGCCCCGATCTGTCCTGAGTGGGGACGGGAGCCGACTGTCGCGCCGCGGCCTTCGGAATGAAGCCGTTCGGTGTCGCGCGGCGAGCAGGAAGACCGGCTCGTGCAACAATGTTAGGTCTCGTCCCGTCGAGGACGATTGATAGCCGGCGGCGGTACTCGCTCTCATTCACCGAGTAGCCCTTCCCGGACTATTCGTTGTTACTCTGTGTGCTGGCGGCCGTCACACAAAGTAGCTTACGGGGTTTAAAGCCGGTCCAGGTGTTAAATTCACTCATGGTATGACACTGTTTGCTGGGTTGTGATTGATGAAAAGAGTACATCACCAGCTGGCATGCATAATCTGATCGTTTGTATTAACTATGGGGCTTTTGGTGGATGACCGTGAGGAGTTTTGAAAATATCTCGGAGGCCGCGGTTTCATATCGGGACGTGCGCCATCCTGCAGCCAGCCATGCAGCGCACGCCCGCCGCCGTCTGACATCGCCGCTGTCTCCCAGGTGGAGAACAAGGCCGGCACCGGCACCTACGAGCAGCGCACCGGGCCGCGTTCGGACCGGGACCGGCTGGCGGCGGCCGCCCGGCAGCTGGCCGTGCTGGCCGCGCCGCCGCCGGCCGCCGAGCTGGAATGGCGGCCAGCGCCGGCCGCCGCCGACTTCCGGCAGGCGGTCAGCCGCGCCGAAGGTCTGGCCGCCGGCGCGGCTTGCACGCCTGCAAGTTCTGCTCGCTGCGTCTGCTGAAGCTGCACGGTCGCGTGGCGGCGGCGGCGGCGCGGTGCCCTGCCGGCCGAGCCCGGCGACGAGCGCGGCGCTCGGGTGGCGCGCGTCGAGGACGGTGTGCTCGTCTCCCTGCCGTACCGCGCCGAGCCGTGGCCCTGTGACGCCGGCACGGTGACGACGCTGCGCGCGGCGGCGGCGCTGCTGCGGCCGGGCGAGACGCTCGAGTTGCGCGGTCTCTTTCTCTTCCACCGGCTCAACATCGGCCTGCTGCAGCTGGCGGCGGCGCTGTTCGAGCGGGCGGCGCTCCTGCCGCCGCCGGCCGGTCGGCCGCGGCCGTGCGTGGCGCTGCGCGGCGCCCGTGATCCACCGGCGCTGCTGGCGCTGCTGGACGCGGTGCTGCAGGTGCTGACGCCGCGCACGCTGTCGCTGTTGCCGGTGACAGAGTTGTGTCTGCGGCCGGGCGTGGAGCAGCTGGTGGCCTACAATGACAGGCTGCTGCGGCTGATCACGGCTGACCTGCTGGAGCAGGTTGGCGCCGGGCAGACGGCAGCTGAAGAGGAGCCGTCCGGGACCGGGCCGGCCGACCTGCTAGAGCGAGACGGACAGCGGCAGACGCCCAGCGAGCCGTGCGAGGCGGTGAAGCGAACTGAAGAGCGGCAGGCCTTGAGCGGTCAGTGCGATCAGTTGGAGCGAGTTGGAGGCGGACAGGTGGTCAGCGACCAGTGCGATCAGCTGGAGCGGGTTGGAGGCGGACGGGTGATCAGCGATCAGTGTGACCAGTTGGAGCGGACTGGAGGGGGACAGGCGGTGAGCGGGCAGTGTGACGCGTTGCAGCTCACTGGAGCGATGCAGACAGAGACTACCGCGGTGGTTTGAGACGCGACTGTGCAGCCACCTGGCCACAGACTCCCGAGACGCCGTGATGCGGTCGCCGGGGCGAAGTGGGACCCCGGCGTGGCACGTGGTGACCGAACGCGCCGGGCGCGGACCGGGAGTGACCGCTCTGCGGCGGCCGACCGCTGCGCTCCGTTTTGGGCCGCTGGAAGGGCAGCCCGATGAGCCCTTGCAGGAATGGTAGATCACGGACGGGTGACAGTGTGATCGTATGGTGCGAAGAGGATCGGTTTGTTTACTGGAGGCTTCAGCTATCTGACGATCTTTTGGATTGGCTGGCTCGTGGAGGAACTGTGCCGGCCTGCTGTCGTGGCGTGCCTTCCGGGTTGTTGCTCAAGCACGGTATGGCTTCGCGATGGCTGGCACCCGGGCCACGCGCCACGTGGAGGCTGCGTCTGCACGGCGGTTTACATCAATCGACTGATAGTGTCGGCTGTTGGGATGGCACGGGGCTGTGTGTATTCCCACATTGTTTCCAATAAACGGGCTGCAATTGCCAATAGCTTTAACATGCGTCCTGGGTTGGTCAGAATGGGACGATGGGAAGTGGGGGGGGGGGGGGGGGGGGGGGGCGGGGAGCTGCACCTCGCTCTCAGCTCCCGCCGCGTTGGCGCCACGGAAATGTTAACATGGTGATTTCGAGTTGACTATCTCTTGAACGGAAGCCATGAATGGTTGCCATGACAGTCTCACAGTAGCCGTACGTTAGGGACCAACATGTTACCGCCGTTAAACGGTTAGTAGCCAAATATCGGAAGGAACATGTCGACTGTTGCATGGCAATTGCATATTACATATGTTTTTCGCTGAGCTCGTGGAGTGGGCCGAACCGGCCAAGCTGGGCATATGTTCTACCTTTACGCACACGATAAGTAGAGGCACCTCATGACGTAACTTGGTACCAACGACCATGCACTGAAAGTTCGTAAGTTTTGAACTGAAGAAGTGATGTCCATTTTTGTCGTCAAAGTCGGTATACCGGCTGCTTGGAGGTTTGCTGTGTGGTGTATGGTTGAGACGGGCTACCTGACTCCAGCATTTGTTCATTTGTTCACTTTCCTTCATATGCAAGGTCCAGGCTTCATGGTATGTTAGCAAATGTCTAATGCAAGTACAGCTCCTTCTGTTAAGAAGTAAACCTCCCATATGTATTTGTATCTGTTTTACGCTCTTCAGAAAGTTCTCGCGACTAGAGCTCAAAGGTGGGCAAAGGCCGTAGAAATATTGAACCTATCATCTGTGCCAGTGTTGGTGCCACGTGGCTGACAGTTTTTACGGTTGCCGTAGCTTTCTCTGAAAGTATTTTACATGAGCATGCTCTTGCCTTAGCATTGAAAATATGATGTGTTACAGCTTTTCTGTCTTAGGAGAAATCCATCGTCGCACATGGAACCAGATATAGTGGAAATTTTTTGGCGATGCACCCCTCACAGTACCGGACGTGTAACCGTCCCGCCCTAAACTGCAACCGCTGTAGCCGACGCAACCATCCCGCTCATCCTGCTTATGCCGCCCAACGCCATGAGCACAGGACCACCTCAGAAAAGGTGTAACAACAAGACGGCGAAATGGTAAATAAATAACCCTGACAACTATGCAATGTCTGAAGCGAGGGGCATAACATTACGTTTTGGGGCGCCACCGCTGCTGGCTTGGCATCATCTGGCCTCGGTCACGTTACAAGCCCGCCAGCTGACGGCAGCCCCGACTGGTGACGTCACGGCTCGTCAGCTGACAGCAGCCCCGGCTGGTAACGTCACGGTTCGTCAGATGACGGCAGCTGCGACTGGTAACGTCGCGATCCGTCAGCTGACGGCAGCCCCGACTGGTGACGTCACGGCTCGTCAGCTGACAGCAGCCCCGGCTGGTAACGTCACGGTTCGTCAGATGACGGCAGCTGCGACTGGTAACGTCGCGATCTGTCAGCTGACGGCAGCCCCGACTGGTGACATCACGGTTGGTCAGCTGACAGCAGCCCCGGCTGGTAACGTCACGGTTCGTCAGATGACGGCAGCTGCGACTGGTAACGTCGCGATCCGTCAGCTGACGGCAGCCCCGACTGGTGACATCACGGTTGGTCAGCTGACGTCAGCTGCGACTCGTGACTTCGCGATCTGTCAGTTGACGGCAGCTGTGGGTGACGTCACGATCCGTCAGCTGACGCCAGCCCCGCCTGGTGACGTCACGGTTCGCCAGCTAACGCCAGCCCCGACTGGTGACGTCGCGATCCGTCAGCTGACGGCAGCCCCGACTGGTGACGTCGCGATCCGCCAGCTGACGGCAGCTGCGGGTGACGTCGCGGAGCAGCTCGTTCGTGTTCCCCTCAGTCCACCACTATTCCAGCGCTCTGCTCGGGGTGGGGAAGTACGACAGCGTACCCCAGATGAGTGATTACGCGCGTTTCATGTGTATGTACTGATCTATTACCAAACGACGGTGAGAATCATCACAATGGAACGGGGCCCACCGGTCGCCGGCGGCCCTATGTACACTCACGACACACGCAGACGGCGCGCACGGACGCTCCGGCGCGACAGGGCAGCGGCCGCACACGACGGCGCGGACGCTTCCCACAAGGCCAGTCGGCACGCCCACTGTCGAACGGTGGCGGTGGCAGTGGCTGATAAACACTGGCTGCGCCTTTCACGTCGACAAGTAAAACACAGGAAAACGGACAGTCCACCAATAAATACTCTCTCACACACCCGCAGGCAAACGTGAGCAAATTTTCAGAGTGGTTCCGCACCGTCCCGAGCGATCGCGGATGAAAGAAACCTGCGCAAAACTCTGTCTTTTCTCGGCCAGGGAGGGGAGGGGTGTCGGTCGGGGATGAAATGGGGGCACCACGATGGTGGCGCGGGAGGGGGGGGGGGGGGGGGAGGGGGACGTTCGAGCGCCGTGACGATAGGGGGACTAGCTACGTTCTACTCTACACTAGGGGCTCCGTCAAGCCCTCCAGAGTCGGGCCGCTCATTATCCGCCGCCGCTGAGATCATCGGTGAAGGAAAGCGGGGGGGGGGGGGGGAGGGGGCATACTGGGAGGCATTACCCACCGATACGCGGAAGAAAAGCGTCGCGTGTCAGCGGATCAAGAGTGGTCAGGCAACTGGGCTATTCAAAATGAATTGAGAAGGTAGAAAACCAGACGGCTTACCAACGACAATTTTCCAGGTGTTACTACTTCAGACCAAGCAAGCGCCGTTACAAGCAACAAAATCCCCAACATACGAAAATCACGTAAAGGTCTTGTTTGTAGAAACGCAACTTGAGGTAAGGATTTCTGACATACATTTTGGTAAAACCAATCAAAGGCAGTGGGAGCTGTACGCACCACAAAAGTGAAAGACGCGCGGAATCAGTGTGAGGTATTTCGTTGTCGATAGAATGTGAGGAAGAGGATAAACACGCACATGGGATGGGTGCGAGATGTGTGGATGTTGAAGGCAGGGCGCGGCGGACGCGTCCGTGTCCTGCAGTCCCGTGACAGCTGGCAGCGGTCGGACAGTGATCGGTTCGCTCCGGGATATCGCAGTCACTCGGCTTGAATCAATCAACCAACCACCCATTCACGCACACACACACACGGTTGGGCCAGCTATGACCGGAAGACAGTGGACATGGGGACACGGGCCAGCTGAACGCCGCCGCTCTGGCTGCCTGGCGGCGCTCCCCTACCCCCCCCCCCCCCTCAGCTCTCCCGAGACCGATCCGCTCCCGGCTCAACTAAAACACAACAGCGTGCACACAGACAACTCAAACCTGCGGCGTGACAGACGCACTGCCAGACGCCCGGCAGGCAGACACGCACACACACACACGCACACACACACGCACATACGCGCACGCACGCTCGCACGCACGCACACACGCACGCGCGCGCGCGCACGCACGCGCACACGCATACACACAAGCACACGCACCCGCACGCGCGCACACGCACACACGCACGCGCACGCACACGTACGCGCACGCACGCGCACGCGCACGCGCACGCACCTGTCACGCGCCGCGGAGTTATGGTTGACGCAGCCTGATGCGTATGGACTGATGGACTGACTAGGAGTGAGGCCTCGGAGCGCGACAGTAGTTCGCCGGCCCGCCGCCGCGCGGCGCCACCTGTCTGAGCGGAAGCGCCGCCGCCGTCGTGGCGCGCGCCGGCGGCGGTGTGCGCCACGCACGGACCGATTTGCGACGGAACAACACGAGATCGTCTGGCAGGTGACAGTGGGCGCAGCCGCGCCGACGCGACGTCCCGGGACAGCGCGAGATCGGACGCCGGCCTGCCGCGGCCGCCCGCCAATGGCACTCGGGGAGTTGGCAGTGTACGGGCAGTGACGGTATTGTACTACATGACAGTCTGCTTGTCGGCGTGCGCCTATGTACAAAAACACTATAAAAATGGACTGGAGACGCCGTGCCTCCGATGCCGCCACGCGAGCGACCATCCTCTTCTACTGGCAGTGCAATTGCTGGTCACTCTCCTCCGGCCCACCGGGCAGCGCCCCTGGCGGCCGGGGTGAAAAACACGTGATGGCCGGGACGCCCCGGCCGGCCGTGACGCCTCGCTCGCACAACATCGCTAAATTCCAACCATTTGTACTGAGGTCCGCTGGCGGCGGCGCACAGCTGCCTGGAGGGGGCTCGGTAATAGCGCCGGGGGCCGCCGGGGCGGGGCTAAGAGGTCTTGCGTTTGCGCCGGGTGGGCGGCTGCCCCACGGCGCGCGCCAGCCGCTCCCACACGCCGACCGGCAGCTGGCTGCAGGGCACGCGCCGGGTCGACCTGAAGGCGTGCGCCGGTATCCACTCGTCCTCCACACTGTCGGCAGAGGGGCGGGGTGGTCAGACCGAGCCAACAGTGTCGGTGGAGGGGCACCTGGCGCGGACTGAGGCGCGGAGATATAACTCAGGCTGAAAATAACGCAGCACGGCTACAATCTATTTGAACCTCCACAACATGTAGGTGTGCGCTTTCTGTAATTCAACGAACCAGCAATTCGGTATTGCAAACCCCCATCCAACATGCATCGACTGAGTCTTGGTTACAACTAATTCTAAACGCAGAAACCATCAATGGAAACAAACAGTACCGGTCACGTGCACGTGAATTCCGCACAGAGCCCAAGGGAGGGACCGCAGAGACGACTTACACATCCGCCGGCTCCCAGTGCACCAGCACCTCCGGCTTGTTCGTGGTGAGGGTCCGGCGTGCTGTTACCTGTAACAGAGGGCAGCACGTCACATTCGGGACCGACGCCGACGGCGGAGCGCAGGGTGCGAACAGAGGGCAGCACCATCACACCCGGCGCCGATACCGACGGCGGAGGGCAAGTGCAAACAGAGGGCAGCACTATCACACCGGGGGCCGATACCGACGGCGGAGGGCAGGGTGCAAACAGAGGGCAGCACCATCACAACCGGGGCCGATACCGACGGCGGAGGGCAAGGTGAGAACAGAGGGAAGCACCTCCAGTCACGCCCGCAACAGGACAGCACGGAAGGCTGACGACAGGAGAGGCACGGCAGAGTCAGCATGGCTGAACAGCAACGGGGTTATACATCTGATCAGCCAGGCGGAAACAGCAGGCAGATGACAAAACAGAACCGAGCTGGCGGCACAGGCCGCAGGGCAGGCGGCTCCGCGCGAGACGTCCACAACAGCTGGCCAGGCAACGGCCCTGCGTGTCCCGCTGAACGTTGCTGACTGACGCAGTGTGAGTGGTCCACCGGAGCGCGGCGTGAGCACACCATCCCGATGACAGCTTAGTGGCGTGGACCGGGGGCCTGGCGCGGCCTGTGACGCACTATCTGGCCCCACCCGCTGATCGGCTATGTCGTACAAATACCACCCCGTACTATCACGCCTTCCACGTCAGTGACTGCCAGCCAGTCCCCTGAGTGACACGCAGGTCATGTCTGTTCCACCGCCGGGTCCGGATGTTCGCCGCCAGCTCATTAGGTCATCGGAGCTGGCCTACCGGGATGACCGTTCACAAAAGCATGAGAGATCTATCCACCGGCACCACCGTCGAGACCCAGTACAGGTGCGCGCCGAGCCTCGACACGTGCCCCGCCGGCGGAGCGGGTCAGAGGTCACTGGCCGTCCCCCGGGGTCACTGACCCTGGCCGTCAGCTGGACGGACCGGCTGGCGATGGCCGGCAGCCTGTCCAGCGCGCTGTCCGCCGACACCAGCTGGTACCGCAGCCGCTCCATGGCGCTCGGGTCACAGAAGTCGAAGATGCGAGCTGCCGGCACACGCAGAGGCCACGTCACGCCACATCACGTCACGTCACGACGCGTCGCGCTACGTCACGTCAGGTTAGATACCACAACGTTCAGCGGCAAACCACGCCACCATCGCGCATTAGCCGTGATGGCGGGACGAGCTTCCCGATCAGGGTGCACCGCCAAAGCTCTTAACAAAAAGACCGGCCGACGGAATACAACGAAACGGTTTTAAGACTGGATGCCGAGGGCCGCTTAAGAGAGCGGAGTGGTAAAACCCAAACCGGAAAAATTCACGGCAAGCCGCGACAGGTACTGTTTGCACACGGTGATGTATGAGAACGGGGTTCGATTATCCGCGATGCCCGCCCTTCTTGCCAGGGTGAGAGGCAGGCGACGCCATACAGCCTCAGCAACTGAGTGTGTTGTAACGCTCCAATGACACACACACGCACGCACGCACACACACACACATGATGACGTGGGAGAGTGTCGTCAGGCATGCCAGGCTCAGGGACATGTTCAGGGACATCGATCCAGGTCGTCGCCCGTCAATATTGCAGGGGTTTCACATTGCGCACTATCGCTAAGTGCATAACGGCACACACTCTGTGCTAACTCCACCGCCCTGCCAACACCACGCCACACACCATACTCACGGTGTATCATATAACATTGATCAAACTCGGTCTGTCAAATGTCAAATGGACGCACAAAGTCAGGCTCATGACGGCCTTGGAGTGAAACTCAGGGGCGCACCAATGCGGCCAACACTCGGTCCAGGGTCGGGCTCTTCGCTGAGTTGAGTAAGAGAGGGCCGGAACGATGTCCCCAGACCCGAGGCCTGCCCCAGAAGAGGGCGTCGCACGACGCCGAGGGGGCCGGCAGCCCCGAGCCGCCGGCCGCTGCCGCAGACCACTCGGCGCGCCGCTCACCGGAGTAGGGGTGCTGGTCGAGCTGGGCGCGCCGGCCGCTGCCGCAGACCGCTCGGCGCGTCACTCACCGGAGTAGGGGTGCTGGTCGAGCTGGGCGCGCCGGCCGCTGCGGCGCGGCGTCTTCACGCTCGAGTCGGTCTTTTTCCCCGGCGCCGGCGGGTTGAAGTGGTGGTTTACGTGCCGCTCCAGCATCGACTGTGGTGGAGGGCGGGCTTTGCTCAGAACTTCTCATCAAGGACTCCGGTCACAATCTCTGGTTATGGGCTCCGGTCATGGGTTACGGTTATGGACTCCGGTCATGGGCTCAGGTCATGGGCTCAGGTCATAGGATCAGGTCATGGGCTCAGGTCATGGGCTCAGGTCATGGGATCAGGTCATGGGTTCCGCTCATGGGCTCCGGTCATGGGCTCAGGTCATGGGTTCCGCTCATGGGCTCCGGTCATGGGCTCAGGTCATGGGTTCAGGTCATGGGATCAGGTCATGGGCTCAGGTCATGGGATCAGGTCATGGGCTCCAGTTATGAGCTCAGGTCGGGGCTGTGTTCAGGAGGTCAGGGCAGGTAGCGCCGGTCGGAAGACTCGTGTAGACTCAAGCATAACTGACACAGGCTTAAACACGGTCTCCATGAAGTTACTGACTGATCGGAAGGCAACATCGCATAACACCATGCCTAGCTATGCTGGCATGTACGTACATCACCAATATGTACATGTACAGCTATATATGGACGCATGTACAGCTATATACCTACATCACCAATATGCCAGATATCGTATACAATGTGTTATTCGTGTTTAGGTGAAATAGCCGACAAATCCCCTGCCGTCAGGCTACCAGCTGGCATGTCCGCCCCCCACCCCCACCCCCTGACAAAGATCGTTCGCCTCAGCTGATTGCCAAACCCGGCGGGTTCACCCGCCCCGTAACGCGACGGGTCGGGCGGACTGGTCTGGCAACGAGAGGCCAGAGCAGAACGGACAGACTGAGCCCACGCAGGGACAAACAGAAGAACACGCCATGCGGAGGGATCTACGCTTACAGGGGCCGAATAGTGACCATCCCGCCGGCGGGCACCAGAGACCCCACAGCTGGCACGTGGGAGAGAACACACCGCCCGGCACGACCACGAGCAAAGGTCAAAATTCAGACAAGCATATGACATGGCCCGGTTTCAGTTGGCTTTTCACATGGCCAGCAGCCGATCACGGCACGTCACTGCGCGCGTGCCGCGCGCAGTGACGTGCCAATATATATATATATATATATATATATATATATATATATATATATATATATATATATTTAAGACAACGTAGCCGACCAAAAGACGACGGTGGACCGGAGGCCGACCAGAAGCACGCGGCGCTGGGCCGGCATCGCACTCGCGTCCCCAGGAGGACTCTGTCATCCTGCTATTTTCGTTTTGCGTCCAGTGAATGGGCCGCAGGGGCGTTGACGGCGCCGACTCCCCGGCCGGTGACGTCTGCGTGTCCGTAACTGGTGTCACACCCCGGTGCGGACGCCGATTGCAGTATGAATCATTAATAGGCGGCGGTGGCTGTCGGCTGGCGACGGCGTCTGACGTCATGTTGAGACGATGCCGACGCGGGAGGGACTCCCGGGGTCGAGTAACTGGCGCGCGGCCGCCGGCCCCCGGCGCCGGCCTGCGGCGATCGAGCCGCGCCTCGGGGTGACGCGCCCCGTCCGCCGGTCAGCGGGCACGCCCACAACACGACACGCCCACGACACAGCTGCCGCGGTGTGGCGGCACGCGCTCCGTCAGCCGGCTCGCCGTCCAGACGAAGAGGCTGCGCCGAACGGACCTGGCCCATTTCCGGACGCGAGGAGTGTAGCTGCCACGGCAACCGTCCCCCCTCCCCCCCCCCACACACGCAATCACACATTCACTCATTCACAGCGCTGCTCGGGTGGCACTGTCCCGGTCAGTCATGGCAGGGGCAGGACGCCGACATACACGGCGGTTTGTACATTAACGAGGAGCCTCACTGGCGGTCTGGCTGTTGCGCTTCTTCCCAATCGTTCACAAGGCCACGATGCTGATGTTCCAGAGTCGATCGGGATTCATGGACATACGACGCAGCCGGTCCAATGACAGAGGGCCGGGAGCTAAGAAAAGGCAATCATTGAGGGTTCTTTGTTGGCATGTTGTCGCTACGTGCCTCGCGTGTTCGGCGCAGTCTGCCGTTATTCTCACAAGCGTCTCCGACCACGTGATCATTCACGGAACACGCCCGGCCCGAACCTTCCCCAGGCAGCCCGCCTCCGGCACGGATAACGGTGGGGTCGCAGCGACAGCCCCCAGTCACCAGCGGGTGGGTGTCAGCCGATGCGGGGGGGGGGGGAGGGTCCGCGCGGGACTGCCAGGGGCGAAGGGCGGCGGGAGCAAACAGGCAGCGATACGACTTGGTATCAGATTAGTTATCGGTCGGCGGCAAGGTAATGCCAACTCATTTGCCTCAATCTACCCACAGCAAGGTGATTTTTAATGACAGAAGACAGCTGCCGCACACAAAAAGGCCACTTGCAGACAAGCCACCGATGATGTTGCGGAGCCCGTAGCTGAAGATGCAAACGTCATATATTGTTTCCGAGCCTGGACTAACTGCCATTCGCCCAATCACTGTCACAAGCTAGAAGATCGGGCAACCACAATTGTCTCCTTCCATACCAATACAATACGATGCGGCATCACAAACGACTGCATCTGACACAGCACGGCACGGCCGTCGATTATAAGTGCCTCTCGCTGTCATCGTGCGACACAGCACGCCACCATACGGACGCCCAAAGCCAAAGTCCAACAAACTCCTCCCACCACGACCGACTTCCGCCGCCACACACCAACACAACATACTACAACGGCCGACCGCCAGCGTGACAGCACAGCACAGCACAGCACTCCGGACCTCTCCCATCCACAGCCCTCGCCGCGGAGCGGTGGACACCAGCTCACCTGCGAGGCGAATCGCTGCGAGCAGCCGTTGACGATGCAGCGGAATGGCTTGCTGCCGCCGTGCGTGAGCACGTGCCTCTCCAGCCAGGCGGCCGAGCCGGGCCGGTCGAACACCTTGCAGCCCTGCCAGAGGCAGCGGCGAGAGCGGCCGGCACCAGCACGCTGATCCTGCACATGGCACGTCTGTAGGTGGTCCAGCAGCTGCGTGGGCGAACTTAGCCGGTGGCCGCAGTCGCGCCAGCGGCAGCAGCTGAGCGCGCCGCCGGCGCCAGCGGCCGGCGTCGGCGCGTGTCGCGCCGGGAAGCGCAGCACGGGCGGCGCGACGCTGGCGCCGGCGCCGGCGCCGGCCGAGCCTGGTTCGCTCGGTGTGCCTGGCTCGCTGCAGCGCTCTTTGCCGAGGCCCGAGTCGACGCTGCTCGTCTCGCTCGGCGCGCGGCAGGCGGCTGAGGTGGTGGCGGCGGCGGCCGCCGCCGCCTCGCCGCCGCCGCCGGGCGAGTGGAAGCCGTTGCGCTTCTTGAGCGAGCGAAGCGGCGTCGGGCCGCGCTCCGGCGGCGCAGGGCGGCTATCACAGTCGGCCAGCGGCGCCGGCTCGTCGTCGAGGTCGGCGCGCAGCTGCAGCACGGCGCGCTCGTGCGTCGCGCCACTCAGCTCCTTTTTCATGGTCCGGAACGCCTGCGCTGATATGTGCTTGATCTGTTTGCTGAAGTACTCGGTGATCTTCTCCTGGACGCGCGGCCGGCCGGCGGCCGGCGGCGGCGGAGGCAGTGGGGGCCGCTCACCGGGGGAGGACCGCCGGCGCCGCTTTGCCGGTCGTCGGTCGGCGGCGGGCGCCGGCGGCGGCGGCGGCGAGGGCGGCGCACCTGCGGCGGGCGGCGCCGCGTCGGCCGGGCCCCGGCTGCGGCCGGCGGGGCGCGCCCACTCGGCGGTCGCCGGCTGGCTGGGGGCATGGGCGGAGGGCGCGGCTCGCCGCCGTCCGAGCCGGCCGAGCAGCTGGAGAGCGGAGAGCTCGGCTCCAGCGAGGCAACGTCGCTCACGCAGCAGCTGCCCGTCGACGCTATCCCACTGAAACAAGACGCGGAGACGGCGCGTCAGCGGCGGCTGGCTCGCACGTGGGGATGGCAGCCCAGAAGCGGTCACGCGCGCCACGCAGCATGCCACGCGCACCGCGACGATACTGGCGTCGGTGGTAAGCGAAGTAGCGATCTGGCTTCGCGCCTGCCGCGGCCAACACTGAGCGGTTGCCGCATTTGATTGTGGGCGAGGGTTAAAGTTGAACAGGGCAGCCTTTTAACTGATACCGTGGGTGTGTCACAATCTCGAGCGATTTGCGAAGGTGTCGCTGCTATTGGACGTATTAACACGCGCACGGGTGGGGGAGGATCAAATTGACCCCCCGAAGGTTTTTCCTGAATGGTTTCCGAACGGCGCGACGTAGCCGCCAAATCTTGCATAGCAGTAGACAATTGAATAGCGGATCATTTAGCATCAAAATTTTACGTGTACCTTGTAAGGTTACCGACCTATGGCAGGTCAAAGTCAGGCCATGGTTTCAGCGAAGGCAATTTTTAGGGAATCCTTCAATCTGATCTGACAACGGAGTGTTAGACAAAGCCATACATCTCTGGAATGCTTTCTTAGGCAACACAGCAGTTGAATGAGCAAATTACATTGACCTAAGGTCAGGTATAACGGTCCCACCGAGGTCAAAACCAACCTGTTTTGTTACTCTAGCGCTTGCTGCATGGGATAGTTTCTGGTGCTCATTTCGAATTTATTGACAGCAGGGACCGCATTATACATCTTCCATGAACTTCTTACAGGTCAGAATAGGTCACTGACCTAAAATGACTCAGGTCAACATTTTGTTTTAGGAACATGCTGCCTAGCGTAATCTTAGTCACTTGGTTAAATGCCAAATTCAAAGCAATCTTGCATGATTTTGGTCATTTTGACCTTCAAATGGTCAAAAAAGATCACTGACCCTGAATGAGCATGTAACCTTTTGCACAGAAACGGGTATCTAGGTTCTGGGGGCACTTCGGAAACCAACCTGGAATTTGACCTTGTTTGACCTTTTTTGACCCGAAGGTCATGATCTAGCAACCTGAAACTTTAACCTAAGTGAGTTCACGTACACGTCAACGCACCCCGTAAATTTTGCGTTTCTAGCTTTCTTAGTTCCCGAGATTTCAGGGGCGTCAAATTGACCCCTCCCACCCGAGCGAAGGGTATCTAGCCTGCCGCCCGGGCACGTGTTAAGCCTGGTTCAGACAGGGTCGAGATGACTCAGAGAAACAGCTTCCCCTTGCTTGCGTTGTGTGAGCTGTTTGGAAGCGCGATTAACGCAGCTGAGTGTTAACGTGGCTCTGCCCGATAGCTCCGATGTCTCGACAAGCGCGGGAGACAATACGACTCGGTTGTCAGAAGCGACCGACTGCGGACGGCATACAAGACCTTCCTTCTTGTAGTAAGTTCCTTCATTTGCAGGCAAGATCACAAGATGACGGAGGACCCGGAGCTGACTACGAAGCCGCCTTTCAGACCACCACAATGCGGTATCTGAACACGCCTACCCCCTGCTTGGGATTACACAAGAAGGGATGTGGCCTGCGAGTTTGTGGCGTGTACATGCGACCTTTGAGGATGCAGTTGGAGACGTGTCCATTTCAGAAACAACGCACTTTAGCTGCGGGCGGATCCACCGGCACCCTGCGCATGTTCGCCCCACAATCGGGCACCAGTGGCCGGGCGGGACGTAAGGTGGCCTGCGACTTTATCAGAGCCGTGGGCATGATAACAGGGCATCAACATACCTGCGTCAATACCACAAACGCGATAAACCTCAACCAGCCACGTCAGAAGGACGGTAATCTTGACCGCGGGGACCGTAAACTGCATCGGGCAGTCACCCCAGAAAGCCAGAGCTGCAGGTTTCTGCCACACCCATACTGGAGCTTGCAGTTCCCGGTTGAGCAAGAGAATAGATAGAACGATACAACGATACAACGATACAACGATAGAACGATAGAACGATAGAACGATAGAACGATAGAACGATAGAACGATAGAACGATAGAACGATAGAACGATAGAACGATAGAACGATAGAACGAGAGAGAGAGAGAGAGAGAGAGAGAGAGAGAGAGAGAGAGAGAGAGAGATATATATATATATATATATATATATATATATATATATATATATGTATATATATATATATATATATGGACCCATGGCCAGAGCTCCAAGTCAAGCTAGGCTAGGTTAAATATTGCGCGGTGTTACACTCTTCTTGTCTAGGACCTACAAGCATTCCAGAACTATCACAATCAGGAGCACAAGATGGTCAAGAAATTGGCTGTAATAGGACGGGTTTTTTCATGCATACGTTTTTGGTTCTGTTCATGCAACACGCCCAAAGGCCCTGTGTTCAATTCCGTGGACTCGTGAGCTTGTCCTACTCCTGAAACGAGGCTCAATGTAAGAACAAACAGGGAAGAGAGGGGGAGATCGAGACCCAAAAGCTCCCAGCCCAGTGCCACCTGATGCCACAAATCTGCCATGTCATGCTCCCATCATCTGACCAACAGCGCTCCGCGCCTTTCATCCTATCGAAAGCAGCGCTATCACACAACGTGAGCACCGTACATTAAATTCATTTGCAGGTAACGGCCGTTAATGCAGTCGTGGTAAACATGTTAGTTACGGGTGCGGCATGTGCGGCAGTTTTGTTTGTAAACTCATCAGTGCTCAGTCAGGTGATTCAGGACTATCGGAAGAGTCTGGGTCTTATACAGCGTCGTGTAATGGTGCGTATGGATATGCTACAGTTAAATAGAGCTGCCAACACCGTCAGGTTTTGTGTCTTCCCGTATGCATCATAACTGCTACTTCAGTAACACAAAACAAAAGCCAGGTGTCAAAAAGAACGATGTCACTCATGTGATTACGCAGATTTCAGACGGAATGGTCAGCCAAGATGGCGCAGAAATGGGGAACCGCAGCGGACTCAAACTTGGGCAAAAACAGCATTAGTTCCTCGGCATTGCATCGCAACACAGGTGCAGCACAATGTGGCTCCCCTCCTCCCCCGTCTTGCAAGTCCTTTCGCCACTGGCCATCCACGACACGTGGTTAATGAAGCCCCTTTTCAACATATCAGGCGCGTTGCGTGATCGCATTTATCAACAGCTTCCCCGCAAAGGTTAAGCGACTGTCAACATTTACGGCGGTGCTCGTGTGTATATCCTGCAATGGAGTTTCATTTTGATGAAATATGACATCCTGCAGTCAGACCATTATAAGGTCATCGACTCCGAGAGCATGCAAACTGAAGAAGGAGCATTCCTTCGATCAATTTTCATAAAAGGTGGAGTCGTTACCCGTAGAAGCGGCCCGCCCCAGTGCCGCTACATCTGGCAGTGCCACTCTCCCCGACTGACAAGTCGTGCGTCCATGCACCGATCAGCCTCGTCAACACAGGGAGGTCAACACGCCCTCAGCTCCCGCTCACTCACCGAGACTCCCGGCCACTGTTGCCGAAACACGCAACAGCGGCACTACAGCGCCGCCACCGCCCGGAAATACTGCGTCCCACGGTCGGGAATGCTTCGCCACGGAGCGTCCGCTTCACGCACCCCTGCTAGGGCACGTCTACAGCTGGCCACGTCCCTGACGTGCTCTGTCAGGGTGGGAAGGACAGGCGTCCTCCTCCTCCTCTTGACCGTCCTCCGCGGAGGCGGCCGGGCGGCGCGGCCGTCAGCTGGCCGGCCCGTCTGACTACGGGCAGGCGGCGGCGGCGGTGGTGGCGGCGGCCGGAGAGGGGAGCCGCCGCCGCCGCTCGGCCCCGGGGGCGCCGGGGAGATCCGGACCGGATCGATGGCGGGAGGGAGGGGCGGCCGCGTGCCGCCGGCCGGCCCGCCGCCGCAGGTGCCGGCCGGCCACCTCCGACGCCGGTCACCGGCCGCCCGACCGCTGGGGACGGGAGAGCCGGCAGGCAGAAGCTCCCTGCGACAGGTCAGCGGCCGGTCAAGCGCCGCCCTCCAGACGAGAGACGAGACCCCTGCGGCCGAGTGCACTGGCGATCGCTAGGCAACGATCGTCGCCCAGCGCGCTGATGCTGCGAGGGTGCCTGATCCACCGAGCAACGCGCATGCGCGCCGGAGAGCTCCCGACGGCCAGGCGGTGGACACGCGAAGGTGACAAGTGGGTCTCGGGCGGGCCAGACGCGCCAATTAGCGGGCCGCGTCGGGCCGGGCCGCCCGGGGCTTCGTGACGTCACCGGCGCGAGATGACGCGTCGCCGGGGTCAGCGACCCGTTGGCGCGCAGAAAAACAAACTGGCCCGCCGTCGGCGGCCGGCGTGTTTGAGACGGCCGCGCGAGGTGGCCCGGCCCGGCCCGCGCACGCCTCCGCGCGCGCCGGCCGACTGGCGGGAAGGTTCGCCGAGCCGCCCGCCTCCCGCCGGCACCGTGCAACCGTGCACGGTGCACTGCAGAGGTCACAGTGCAGAGCCCGGCGCGCGGCAGTGCGTGAGGCGGCGGCCACTCAAGGACACGCATTCACCTGTCTGGACCGCCCACCGCGCGGCTCGCCGTCCATCAGAGGCGCGGCGTGCGTGCGTGGGGCGCCTTGGAGCGGAGCTGGGTCAGCGAACAGATCCAGCGCGGTCCCAGTCGCTGGACAGGTGACACAGGCCCGCTAGCTCACTAGAGAATGCAGCCCCAGCCACTTAACTGACAGAACATTGTTGTTGCGTAAGAGCCACGCGTAGGGGTCAGTGGACAGTCCCTCGAGGCACTGGCCAGACAGAACACCTGAGGCCACCGCAGCGGGCAAAGTTACGGGACAGGCAGCGACGCCCAGCGTCCTGAGCCCTCCCCACACACCCACAGGACGGGCGGAGGTCAGGCCCGGCCGAGGTCGTGAGACGTCGGCTGGCGGCCGCGGTCCACGGCACTCGCCGAAGCCACCGAAATCCACGGCGCACTGCCGCCCGCTCCAGGCCGCTGACACCGTACGACGCTTCACCACAGAGTACTGCAAAAGTGTTTTTCAAAGTAT